CCGTGCCCTTCTGCACGGCTGGTGCGGTGATCTACGTGCTATGCATTGGGTGCACGTAGAAGGAAAGTTTCTCCTTGTATTCTATCCCTCCGGGTTCTGGGTGGACCTTGTGTGTGGGTGCCCAAGCGTGAGTTGGGCAGGGGAGTGTCGAAGAGAAAGGCCCCGCCCTCGCTTGGGCGCAGCCGATCTCGCCGTCGACGGGAAGTTCTCGACGGATTGGTAGAAGAAGGGGGCTTCTGCAGCTCGACGACAGTTGCGGTCGAGCAGGCTCTGCTCGACGGAATCTGGTCGACGAGCTCTGCGCGCCGAGCTCTGGTCGACGATCTCTGCGCGACGAAGTTCCGTCGAGGAACTCTGGTCGAGAAGTTCTGTCGAAGAACTCTGGTCAAAGAGTTCAGGTCGAGGAGCTCTGCTCGGCGAACTCTGTTCGACCGAGCGATGGCGAGTCCTTCGACTGAAGTTGCAGAGTTCCGCGAAACTCTGTGGAGGCGTGCAAACTTTCGCCCAGGATATTTTGGCGAAGTTCTACCTGCGGAACGGCATCACGTGGTCGACGGTGCGCACCTGGCGAAACCGACGACACGTTTTCTACCTGGCACCTGCGAAATGTCCTTGACGGTGAAACCGCAAACCTCCACCTACTTGGTAGGTGCGCACATCTGCGCAGATAGACAACCTGCGACAGCAGATAGTCACCTGCGACTGCAGCGCTAGCAGAACGTGCACGGTGCGACGTTGGCAAATTACTCTGCTGCAACGTTGGCAAGCCACTCTTCTGCTGCGCTGGCAAAGTTCGCCCTTGCTAGGAGTTGAATGCCCTTCTAGTCCTTTTGTTCTGCATGCCTCTATTGTACTTCCAACTTTTTATTGCAAGTTGTTCTTTTGAACTTCCTTAGTGGAAACTCTTGCAACTTTCTCTGTGAACACAAGCAAGTAGTAACAACGTTAGAACGATGCTACGATCACCCGCACAACTTCGTGCCCTCCACCATAGTCCACTCCCGTTGTGTAGTGACTCTCCGGATTGCCCCGCACCAACCGCGACATTTCCAACCCTTACACGTCACAAGGTCCTCGTCTAGCATGTTTCGCCCTACATGTTCTCGCTACTTTCATTGTATCCCAGAATTATGTGATCACGTTTTCTTTACAAAGTCTTCTGCGCACCTTGATTAGTATAACTCATAATAGTTCCATTGCAACCGTAACAAGAAGTCATAATAGGTGACATGTGGGTGTGTATCCCACGCTCTCGTACTCTAGCGATTTCTGCATCGAGAAGTTTGGGATGATGGCAAATTGGCAGTGCCACGTTGAGAGAGGGGGAGGTGACTCAAGAAAATGGGCTTCCCTCCTACAGTAATCTTGACTGATTACATGCCTTCCCCTTTTGCCTTCATCAAGGACAGAACACGAGGCGTAGTACTAGTCGAGAAAAGCCAAAATGCCTGCATTGCTGTGCAGCACGAGATCAGACAAGAGAAGTCTCCATTACTATACGTGGCCCCTCCCTGGGAAACGCATTTACACCCTAATGCTCACTCAACCACCCACTCTGAACATGCCAACTGCCACTCCATACGCCCAGTGGTCGACATTCACAGCCAACGGCCCGCGCGTTACTAGCCCACGACAAAGCTAATATATTCTTGACATCGAATATGTTAATCGAGTTCCCCAGTCAAGACACGCTGGGCTATCCAGATACAGTTCCATTCTCCCCGTAGAGAGCGCATGCTCGAAAGAGGAGCACAGAGAAAGATGGGGAACGGGACTGAAATGGGCATCAGGTGTACCGCGGAAATAGGTTTCCATCAAGGATAGCGTTGCTTGAGCAGTTTCAACCACACAACGCGCGCGTGAACCCTTCCAGGTCGATAAGGTTCATGGCAAATCATATGCCAGCCAAGGCGGGCTTCCCTCCTACAGTAAGCTTGATCGGATTACATTCCCTAGCCCTATCCCCGCTATCAAGTGAGTGTTCTGGCGAAACTCTAGGGAAACGGACACGCATTTCGCCAGCAGCAACCACACCGATCGGGTGAGTGCTCCCGCAGGCCGTTCCAAACACTTCTCCAACCCCGCTCAATGATAATGCAGTTTCCACCACCTTCCGATCCCTCAGTCCCCCCAACCTCCCATCCATCACGTTTGGAACGATTTCGTGCCGCCGAAATCACTGTAGGTCACTCAGTAAAGCCAAAATAGTGTGCCGTGCGGGATAAACGGTCGTTTTAGGTGTAGGAATAGTGGGGTGGTTTGGCGTGGTGTGGGCAGTAATCGCGTTCAATGGTTTTGTCACCAGCGCGCTAAATCCAAGCACTATACACCACGCCGTTGGTGAGACGGTCTGTGTATTGCCCACGTGCATTACTGCAGCACCCAAATCGGACAAGATACTGTAGATGAGCACTCTCCCTATGTGGGCAAACACCCAGCATTATTTTCTAGTTCCCCGAACCTATCCAAATCCATCGCTTCGGCCGATTACGTTTTGGATAGGGTGGCGCCGACCATTTTGCAACCACACCCGACGCGTGCCGTGAACCCCTTCAGCGAGATGATAAGGTTTCTCGAAGCACCATCATTGGCGAGGAGAGGGGAGTGGGGGAAGGGGGGTGGGGGATTGGGGGGAAGGGGGGGAAGGGGTGGAGGGAGAGAGAGCGAGGCGGGCGGAAGGTTGCAGTAATATACTACTAGCGGCGCTTCCATTTGAGCCATAGTAGTCCATCAATAGCTTTCATGGAATTGTTACTAGTTAGTACTAACGCTTGTCCAGGCAATGGCGGTAAGAGAGTTTGTGGGTGCCATGGCAGCGCGACTTGCCTGTGTGGTGGCCGTGCTGCTGCTTCTGTCGAGCGGCGGCACTTGGCCGGGCGGCGGTCAGCCGGGGAGCCAATCTCGCGGCGTCACGGTGCATGCAGGCGCCCTCATCAGTTCGGCTCAAGGTTAGCACCGTTGTGCTGCTACAATACGTCACAAAGAATTTTCCCATAAAACATTGCTCAATGACTGACAAAACAATGTTACGGCTATGTCCCTGGGACCAATGGTCGAGGTTTATCATCAGCAATCGATTTCGGCAAGGCAGTGTTGTAGGAGCGCTCATGATGATTGGACAAACATACCCCCGCACGTTCGGCAAGGATTGCCGAAACACACACGGGGCAATCTTCATTCACGATACAGTAAAATCACGCACGTGGCACGAATGGTGCATCTGCCACTAACCGGTTCGGTATAGCGCGGGGTCTAGATGCCAAAACAACTATGAAAAAAAACCATTTGTGAAACAAACGCGATGCGGTAAACGAAGGTGATTACCTGCGTTTAGGGTAACACCCTCTAACAGCACCCTCCCAATAAGTGCCATGCTTTACAAGTATAACCTCGACAAGTATAACGCACAGGTAACATTGTTACAAACAAAAATGCAACGTCATGTTTATGATACACATTCGGAGCGCGCGGTCATACAACACGGTAGCATGCCGCGCTGTGTTTCGCACTACCACCCCGCGAGCCGCGTTTCCAGGAGGGGTACAGGGATGTTCCTCTCAGGTCAGTCATTTCTTTCCCCCGCCTTGTTCGTGTGGTGGATTTGATGCACGATTTAAACAAACAGACAAATTGCACTGAAATCATCAAGGCCTAACACAGCATAAACACAAGCTACCATCTCACCACGTAAGCACCAGCTGCGGAAACAACACGAAGCAAGCTCGGCAGTTCAAAAACAGACAGCAGCAGTGGAGTATAATTGAAACCAGGGAACATCGCAACGTGCGGGATGTCGCGAGCCCCAGTCGAACACCTAGCAACACAACCCACGTCCAAATCTACGCATCCTCCTAGGTATCGGGCTCGTCATTGTTCAAGTGATGCTACGATTCTCAGCGGTAACGAGCGCGTGAAGGTTTGGGCCGTTTACCTAAGCCTCGCCAACATCCACCTCCGTCTCCGTTGGGGTGATTCTGGGAAGATTCTGCTTGCACTACTCCCAATGCCTGTCCATGGAATGACGGCCGAGCAGAAGGTGCAGCTCTTTCAAGCTGCGATGCAGGTGGTCCTCGCTGACCTGATTGCCGCATCACACACGTGAGTGCCAGCAGCCATTGGCCCAGCCAAAGCCGCAGCCCGCCCTTCACTCAGTCTGCCCTTGCCTTATTACGCCCTTGGCTCTTTCCGTCCTTGCCTCAATGGGCCTTGGCTCTGCCCCCCTGGCCTCTTTCCGCCTTTGCCTCTCTTCGCCCTTGCCTCAATACTCCTATGCTACAGGGGGATTGCGGCCCGCGATCCATGGGGGGTGGACCGGGTCATATGGCCTCTGCTCTTCTCGTACGTAGCGGACTTCCCAGAAACCTGCAAGGTTTCGTGCACTCAGCAGCATGGCAGTCAGATGCCATGCTCCCTGTGCTACGTGGATAGGGGGCAGCTCAGGAACATGACGGCAGCTGCGTCGGAGTCACGCTCCGTGGACCAGCAATCGTCACTGATTGCCAATCCTCGGCTAGCCAGGACGTACTCCACGCTCTGTGTCGCGGTAGGTATCGGCTCTAAGTTCGAGGTTTGCACCTGTCGTGGCCTGGTTGTTCAGCCCATGCGGTAGGCCAAGTGTTTACGTCGTTTATGCTCTGTGCATGCAGTCGTTCCTCTGGGAGTGGAACTTCTCCCGTACACTTCGGGGGAACACCTACCTATCCCAGATGCCAGACATCCTACACATCATCTACCTCGGGTTCTGGCTGTACCTTCGCGCTGCACTGCGGGGCCCTGATTCCCGCGCCACCACCTTAGACAGGTACGTTTGCCCCTAGGCATTTGATAGGCGGGTGTCCAGCTCGACTGTCCGTACTTGCCTTTGTCCGTTCTTGCTCTGTCCGCCCTTGCCTCTGTCCGTCCTTGCCTCTGTCCGCACTTGCCTCCGTCCGCCCTTGCCTCTGTCCGCACTTGCCTTTGTCCGCACTTGCCTCTTCCCTTTGCCTCGTCCCGTCCTTGCTATGTCCGCCCTTGCCGATGCCCGTCCTTGCCTCTGTCCGCACTTGCCTCTTCCCGTCCTTGCCTCTTCCCGACCTTGCCTCTTCCCATCCCTGCCTATTCCCATCCTTGCCTCTTCCCGTCCTTGCTCTGTACGCCCTAGCCTATGTCCGCCCTTGCTCTGTCTGCCCCTTGCCTCTTCCCGCCCTTGCTCTGTACGCCCTAGCCTATGTCCGCCCTTGCTTTGTCCGCCCCTTGCCTCTTCCCGCCCTTGCTCTGTCTGCCCCTTGCCTCTTCCCGCCCTTGCTCTGTCCGCCCCTTGCCTCTTCCCGCCCTTGCTCTGTCCGCCCCTTGCCTCTTCCCGCCCTTGCTCTGTCCGCCCCTTGCCTCTTCCCGCCCTTGCTCTGTCCGCCCCTTGCCTCTTCCCGCCCTTGCTCTGTCCGCCCCTTGCCTCTTCCCGCCCTTGCTCTGTCCGCCCCTTGCCTCTTCCCGCCCTTGCTCTGTCCACCCCTTGCCTCTTCCCGCCCTTGCTCTGTCCGCCCCTTGCCTCTTCCCGCCCTTGCTCTGTCCGCCCCTTGCCTCTTCCCGCCCTTGCTCTGTCCGCCCCTTGCCTCTTCCCGCCCTTGCTCTGTCCGCCCCTTGCCTCTTCCCGCCCTTGCTCTGTCCGCCCCTTGCCTCTTCCCGCCCTTGCTCTGTCCGCCCCTTGCCTCTTCCCGCCCTTGCTCTGTGGGTACTTGCTCTGTCCGCCATTGCCTATACATGCCCTTGCCTCTGTCCGTCCTTGCTCTGTCCGCCCTTGTCAATAGGCATTTGCCTAATGTGATGCAACCTCACGAGGTCAAACCCACTGCGATTGGTGCCCAAGATGTCTCAGTCGTTGTTTCAGTATTGCTTGCATTTGATGTTATCAGCATCATTCATATGGTGCAGGCGTCAGAATGCACTACACCCAGGCGCCAGGCAGGCGGGACTGCTAACTCCTGGAGACGCGAGCTACTGGGTCTCTGGTGCCAACTTCACCGCATTGGAGCATGCCGCTGTCATGATGGTGCGCCCCTACCTTCTAGTGTATGGTCTCTTACGAGTGCCCAATGCACGTGATGGTTGTCAGATGGCCTTTGCTGACTACGCGCTTCCTGTGTGGCAGATTGTACCATTCGTGCTGGAGGGGGAAGTTGAGGTCATCTGTAGCCGCACGATTGTCGCCTTTCTGGACTAGCACGAGACATTCGTGCGGGCTGCGGAGCACACGGATGAGAGTCTGAGTGCGTTCGACACTGCCACTCGCAGGTATGCTGTGTGTGAGCTTTTCCACAAGCGCTGCAGTTATGCCGCGTGCGTTATGCGGGAGTCTAGTATAATCATTGACACTTATTCCCATTGTTTCCATGCTTTCAGGATGGTGCAGTTGGTGGAAAGCACCTTTCCACGCGAGCACTATGGGTGGAACCTTGTGAAGGTGCACCTGCTGCTTCACCTTACTGCGGCGATTTGAAGGGGGGGGCTGCCACGAGAGTACTCCGCGGCGGTGTACGAGAACGCACACATCCGCACCTGCAAGAGGCCGTACCGACGGTCCAACCATCGAGACGTGGGGCGTGTAATTGCGCAGCACAACACCAACGCTGCTCTACTGACCCGTTTCCCAACCAACCTCGAGGGCGACCGCCAGTACAACACCGCGATGCGCCGGGTAAGGACGCATGTAAGGCTCCCTAATGTCTGCTGTAATTATGCATGTCGGGTCATTCCGCCTTTGCCCCTGTCCGCCCTTTGCCTCTGTCCCCCCTTGCCTCTGTCCGCCCTTTGCCTCTGTCCGCTCTTTGCCTCTGTCCGCCCTTTGCTTCTGTTTGCCCCTCGCCTCTGTCCGCCCTTTGACTTTGTCCGCACTTGCCCTTTGCCTCTGTCCACGTGTTTTTTTGTCCGCTCTCGCCATTTGCCTCTATCCGCCCTCGCCTCTGTCCGCCCTCGCCTCTATCCGCCCTCGCCTCTGTCGGCCCTCGCCTCTATCCGCCCTCGCCTCTGTCCGCCCTTGCCTCTGTCCGCCCTTTGCCTCTGTCCGCTCTTTGCCTCTGTCCGCTCTTTGCCTCCGTCCGCCCTTTGCCTCTGTCCGCCCTTTGCCTCTGTCCGCCCTTTGCCTCTGTCCGCCCTTTGCCTTCGTCCGCCCTTTGCCTCTTCAAACCCTTTGCCCCTGTCCGCCCTTTGCTTCTGTTTGCCCCTCGCCTCTGTCTGCCCTTTGACTCTGTCCGCACTTGCCCTTTGCCTCTGTCCGCGTGTTGTTTTGTCCGCCCGTTGCCTCTGTCCGCCATTTGCCTCATTCCGCCCTTGCCTCTGTGAACCCTTGCCTCTGTCCACCCTTGCCTTTGTCCGCCCTTGCCTCTGTCCGCCCTTGCCTCTGTCCGCCCTTGCCTCTGTCCGCCCTTGCCGCTGTCCGCCCTTGCCTCTGTCCGCCCTTGGCGGAGAGAGCGCGCTTTGTCTCTGTCGGCCCTTGCCTCTGTCCGCCCTTTGTCTCTGTCCGCCCTTTGCCACTGTCCGCCCTTTGACTCTGTCCGCCCTTTGCCTCTGTCCGCCCTTGCCGCAGTAAGCGGTATGTCCGAGGGGTGGTGATAGTTTAAAGGATTGTGTGCGAAAAGCTGGTGTTTGGCCCCATCCGCCTGTTTGGCGGGTCCTGAGTTGCTCACCATGCGTTCATTTGCCCCCCGACATGTCATCACATGGCAGGCAATCGCCAGTGGGCTGCCCCAGCTGTGCCGCCAGCGATCCAGGATGCACAGCGTGATCACGGACAGGGAGCAGGCTCCCCTGGACCTGTACGCGACGTACGATGCTGCAATCCCGGGAGGCATCGGGCCATACGCCTACTTGACGCGCCTCTTTGGCTACGTCTCTTTCCCAGTGTGGGTAAGTACTGGGTTCTGCTGCCCCCATGACAACACCATGCTTGTTTTATTTTTCCACCCTGTTTTTAACCGTACTACCATCCTGCCACCTCTCCTGCCCCCTTACCCCTCTCGTGCCATCAGGTCCACACGGCGCTGGCTCTACCAGCCCGCGGGACGGACCACGGCCTGATCAGGCCACAATATGTCCGCGCCAACCCCTCGCACCATGGTGCTGCCACATTCTCGTTCATTGAGTACGAGGATGGGACCGGGGAGACGGTGGTCGACCGCGTGCACCTGCTCCTGACGCTGATGATGAACAGCGAGGATGCACACCCCGCGGGAGAGGCCGTGGCCTTCGTGAGGCAGTGGTACCCCTCGGTGGAGGACGAGTGCACTGGCTGCATGAGGATGCGGCCATCTGATGACGAGCTGAGCTACGACCTTGTGCCGGTCGCCTCCGTGCATAGGACCATGCACATGGTGGAGTCGTTTGTGACGCCTGGCCTGTGGTATCTTAACAAGTGGGCTGGCCGATGCCGCGAGGAGTTGCCGTAAGGCCGCCAAGGAATATGTACTTGATCCTATCCGTTGTTCATTGTTTGTGCTGGAATGATTGTCACCAAGCCTTCTTTCTGGTTTGGTTGCTACTCAGAAACATGAAATGCGTGTCGGCTCTTGCCTCTGTATTCTATTTTTCTCCATTTGGGTCTTATCGTAGCTTGGAGGGGTCCACTGTGTGGCTAGTAGTTGCTGTATGGCTGTTTTTTACCTTATTTTATTATGTTTGGCGTTACGTTTATTGCTGAATCACAGGCACTATACTCTGTTCTTTACTTTTATCTGATGGTACAGTTTAGAGATGTTGACAAGGAAGCTTGCAGAGCGAACCCCAGCTGGAGACACAATGTGAAAGGGGTTGCATTGGTAGTTGCTACCGTGACAGTGGGCAGGCAATGCCTGGGAGAGAAAAATTGCTTCGGGAGTGCACACAGCTTTCGAAGCCATGCCCCAGTGCGCATGGCTGATGGATACGCCGGGTGTTGACAGGTTTTGGGCATCCCGTTTTTTGTGACGTACTTTTGAAGACGCGGCACCATGACACCTTTGTTTGTGACATGCCGCGCATCATAATGTTTTCTCTGATAGCAACCTATGATCCAAGTGTGGCGGTTCAGTCAGCCGCCGCGATTATTGTTTTTTTCCCACTGCCCTGCCAGCATGCGACGCCCTGCAGTGTCAGCGCTGGCAGCCGTCAAGTCCGCGCTGGGCCTGACGTTCACCAAGTGGTCGACGTCTAGTAGCTCCCCATACTGCTTCGTCCCTCCCACGATGATCGTGCACGCTGCAGGCTACAACACCAGTTCTGCGTGCATACATCATGATGCCTCTTCTTTCAACCGTGCCCCGATCGTGTTTAATACGTTCTGTTCCATCTTTCCCTTTCACTGCCCAATCTGTCCTACAGTGTCCGCATTGCTATCCATGAAGTCAACCCTGGGTGTATCGTTCACAGACTAGGCCGCCACCTCTCAATGCCTCCAGCAGGGCGAATACGTCTCAGGAATTACTACCTGGTCAAGAATTGACTGCTCCATAAGCGGGGATCCCTTGCGTTTGTGAGTGCTCCAAATCGCACATCTCACGAGTGTTCCGAGAGATTCGAAGTTTGCAAGTGTTTGAAACACCACCAGTCAGACGACCCACACTCTTCGCACTTCATTTGTGGGCCCATGATCCATCCATTTGGCTAGATGTCACGTTTCATCCTCACATTTTGAACGAGCCCAGCCAAACTCCTAATGGTGTCTATACCCGATCCTATTGTCCCCTCCGCATCACAATTTCTTGGCATGGTGCTGTCACACTCTTGGGTCGTTGCTTACAGAAACCTGGCGTCTCTGAACCTCAAGGGCAGCCTGCATTCCGACATGTCCAAGCTCACCGCGCTCACCGCCATGTCAGTTCGCCTCTTCTCCTTTCCCTCTCACTCGTCCTTCCCTTCTACACGACGGGCTTGACTCGACCCGAACTATCCGTACTGATGGAGTAAGTTGGCAGCCTCGGCATTAAAGAAGCTCCAAGCGCCCCCCATGAGCGGCCGCTAGTCACCGCGAGCTACAAGGATGAAGGCCGCATCATGCTCCACAGGAGCCCACCAATGCCGAAGCGAAAGCCCTGCCAAAGCCGTTGGTAGCTCTTTGGTACTGTCCCGGGTGTTGCTTGGAACACAGTTACTTGGGTGCACTTGCTTGAAGCACAGTTGCTGCATGGGGTATGTGACAAGTGGGTCTGAAGGGAGAACAGCACATTTTGCATGATGGCTTCACTTCACTCCCACCAGGGGCGGCCGTTCTGTACTGGTGGTGAAGAGGTGTGTTATGTGTTGTTTTGCTGCTATGTTGTTGGCTTCCATGCTGTGTGCTGCCATTCTTTGTGCTGCCATTCGATGTGCTATTGCTGTGTGCGTTCATGCTATCCGTGCTATTCCACGTCACGCCCGCACCGCCCTGTTTTCCAACCTGTCTGCCCTCAATTAGAACCTTGCAAGGGAATATGCTCACTGGCCACTTGGACGCTTTCCTTCCCAACCTCATGGGGTGTAAAACCCTACAAGGCATGTGAGTAGTCAAGGGAATGTGAGCCGAGAGTGGTAAAATGAACAACATGGTTGATCCAATGGTAAGAAATCACGCACTTGGCTCTGACAATAACATAATACATCCACATAGCCGGAAAGGCTCAATTCTTCCAGTGTTGACGTGTCAGATCGTTTTCACATTGTCCCAGCATTGTGTGAGTGAGTGTCATCAATCTGGCCGCCGAATCCCCTACCTGCCATCTACTTTACCAGATATCTTTCCTACAACTATTTTTACGGCGATGTCCCTACTTTTCTGGTGAACCTCCCTGCACTCAAATCTCTGTAAGTAAAATCGTGCCATACCTTTTATGCTGTAGTCTCTCGACTCTGCTTATTATCTCCCCTCATACCCGGTTCCTCACTCGTCACGATTCACAACCCTTCTTGTCCCCCCACCTCTGCTCATCTCTGCCCCCTGTGCTCCCTTCACCCTGCGCCTGTTGCAGCTATCTTAAGTACAACTACCTCACTGGCACCATCCCACTCCTGCCTACAACCATGTCACTTTCTCTCTTCGAGAACAACTACCTCACCGACGTGGCCACTCCCACTGGCTCTTGCTTCGGCACCAACAACTGCTTCTCTAATCCCGCAAAATGCCCAAGTAGCGGAACCCAAAACCGACCTGCTGCTGAGTGCGCCATCTGTGGCACTACCAATGGCATTGCACCCTTGTGTTGGGGCGCTGGTGGGGAGTGCGTGCCCGATTCTGCTTCTAGGATTGCATCGGGCTCATCGAACTCATATTTTCAGCCACTGCTGCCCATGCTCTGCTCAGGTAATCCTCTTTTACCCCCCTCAACGTGGGTGCAGCAGGAAGGGGTCATTCCAAACGAGGATGTCACACGTGAATGAACTGCACGCTGCACTCTTGCTGCTGTTTAGTTCAAGCTGCTTTCCATAGTGCGCATCATTCACCTTCATCCGCGCCTTGTGCTGCTGCTGGTGCTGATGCTGCTTCTGGTACTGCTGCTGCTGTTGCTGCTGCTGCTGCTGCTGCTGCTAATGATGATGATAACCATGGTCGTGGTTTACTTATCCGCCTACGTTCTGTACGCCCCCAAACTTCCATGTAATCTAATTTGCAGGCGGCCCTGTTACTGCCGTGTCATCTGCCAGCGCTGCAGGTGTGTGGGTGCTACGCCTTATCTTGTCATCCATGCACCACCCATAGTCCTGCGTAGGTTTCGACATTTTTATAATGTGCAATCCCAACTTGGCGCAGGCGAAGTTCCTTATTGCGGTTTGGTTTGGGTCGAACCTGTTTGCGTCTAGCACCTCTCGAACCAATCCTATGCTTTTCTTAAGCACCCCTTTGTGTCTCGAGCAGTTTGGTTTGGTTTGACTACTTGAGTCAAGCCGTGTCAATTGAAACATTTTTGGTGCCAGGTAAAAGATCGCTTAAAATCTTCAATGGTGTGACATTAATGGGGCAACTACTAGGGTTGCCAGGTATTGGTGCCCTGCACGGAATTCGTTGGAAGCCAGAGTAGTTGGGAGTTGTGTGGCTGTCTGTATTTTACGTTTCCCTAAATCCCTTGAAACCTCCCACCAATGTTGTGCCAGGGGGATGCCTGGGGGTTGTTGCGGTTCGAGTCAGGAATGTTTGAGTTTGGTTTTTGCCCATCCGTAGTTGCAATGCCCTTCTTTCTGCGACTCTCTACTTTCTACTTCCTGGTCTCCCCCAAACTCTTCCCTTTCCCATATTTCTTCCCAATCCGTTTTCCACACCTCCCCACGTCTTCCCCACCCTCTCCCTTCGCCAGCTCTGCTGGCGCTCAAGGCATCGCTGGGCGTGACGTTCACCTCGTGGGCAGCAACTGTGCCGTGCCAAGTGGTTGGCAAGCAGACTACACTGGCCACGTGGTCTGGCATGCTCTGTAATGATGTTGGAGGGGTCGTTTCCACGTAAGAACTCACTAATTCACTGTGTATGCTGTATCTTGACTTCACTCGTCAAATGCTTTCAGATTCAACATCTCGTATCAATTCAAGCGTATTGCAATGCCTTCTATGTGAGTGGGCTATTACAACACTTTGTATGTGAATGTGCTCTTCTAACAAACTTTGCATAAGAGATCTGTTTCGACCTAGTTAAAACGCCTGCCTTCCTTTGTTTAGAATTGTTGATTAAATCAGTCGTCCCTCCGGCCCCTGATACTTGTCCCCCTGCCTCTGTCACTTCCCACCTCTCTGCCTATCCCATCACTCCCCTCAGCTCGTTGGCACGTCAGGGTCTGAAAGGGTCTATTCATGCGGGCATCTCCGATCTCACCGCGCTCACTTACCTGTAAGGCTCGAATGGGAAGTGCTGGGGGGGAGGTAAGCCAGAGCCAGATTTTAATAAGGCAGTGTCCTTTCTAGGATGAATGCTCACTTCTTCTCTGCTACCCTGCCTACCAAGTATCTGAATAACAGGACACATTATTTCTCTCGATTCTAAAATGCACCACACGAATCAACCCTCTCATTTTGTGCGAATCCTGACTCTAAACTTGCCCCCTGCGCTAGTGAATTTGGCTACAACCTCTTCCAAGGCAGCCTTGACTCGTTCTCTGAACCACTTAAGAACGTGCCCAGCCTCAAGGCGCTGTGAGTACCAAACCAACAAACAACTACGTTCTCGTTTAATCTATGTGAATCTGCTGTCAGAACATATATGTAGCTTATGCTGTTGTGTAGGCTACAGTGGGGTATCCCATAGGGGGTACAACCCAATTAGGGTTTTGCTATTTGTACTCACTTCACTCATAGTTCATTCATTCTCGTTCTATTGTCCACATGGTATCGAGCAGGTTCCCCCGTGGGAACTGTGCTTAGGGCCCACCACTTTTAAACTTTTTTTTTTTCTGCCCGGAGCACGTTCCGGCCCTCGCTCTCACTCTTTCGGCCTGCCCTGCGGCCCCCTAGCCGC